AGAGGAGGCATCCAACTCATTCTTCGTCAGAAACAACACTGCTACCTATGCTCATCCGACCAAAGGTACTGATGACATACATGCTCTTGCTTCTGTCTCCCGACAGATCATCAGAATGGATAGTCGACTCCGATGCGTCTCGACATATGACAGGTAATGCTAGTGAGTTCTCATCATATACTCACCTAGCATCGCCTGATAGTATTCAAACAGCTGATGGTACATTTTAGCCGGTGGTTGGTAAGGGTACAGTCGATTGTACTGGTTCTGTAACTTTGTCCAATGTTTTGCATGCTCCTTCCTTTTCAGTCAATCTTTTGTCCATTAGTTCTATCATTCTCCAACTAAAATACATTGTCTTTTTTGATATTCCCAATGTGATTTTTCAGGAGAAGGGGACAGGGTGGAGACTTAGGACTGGCGCATGGCGTAGTGGACTGTGGTATCTGGATCGTGAAGGGCTGGATTCAGCGTTGGTGTCAGTCGTAGAGAAATCAGGAGTAGGATCTAAAATGAGTGCTGAGAGTGAGTTAATACTTCATCACCAGCGTTTGGGACACTCATCCTTTAGCGTTTTAGGTAGATTGTATCCTTTTTTATTTGAGAAAGCAAATAAACAGAAACTTGTGTGTGATGCATGTGAGTTTGGAAAGCTTACTAGAAGCTCTTATGTTAGTTCTGGTCATAGAAGTTCTCATGCATTTGACTTGGTACATTCAGATGTTTGGGGGTCTTGTTCCACAAGTTCTATGAATGGATACAAGTATTTTGTTACATTTATTGATTGTTTCTCTCGTGTTACTTGGTTATACCTGATGAAGAATAAGAGTGAAGTGTTTGGGTGCTTCCAAAACTTTCATAGGAATGTTCAAACTCAATACGGAGCAGTGGTGAAGGTATTGAGGTCGGATAATGGGATAGAGTATACCAACAGAACGCTTGAAGAATACTTGTCAACTCTGGGAATACAGCACCAGACAACATGTCCATACATACCAGCTCAGAATGGGATAGTGGAAAGGAAGAACAGACATCTTTTAGGGGTTGCTAGAAGCATGATGATCTCTATGAATGTCCCAGAAACATTGTGGGGGCAGGCAGTATTGATCGCAACAACGCTGATCAACAGAATACCCTCGAAAGTGCTGGATTGGAAGTCTCCGTGTGAGATGTTGAAGGGAGATAATGGTGGGATTCTCCCACATAAAGTGTTTGGCTGTGTGTGCTTTGTGAAGGATAATAGGCCATCTGTCGGGAAACTTGTCCCTAGAGCTGTGAAGTGCATCTTTGTAGGATACTCTGCTACTCAGAAGGGATATGTTTGCTGGAGCCCGGTGGAGAAAAGGTTGTTTGTGAGCATGGATGTGCACTTTCGAGAACTCGAGCCATATTACACCCGGAAGGTAAATTCATCCGTTGGTAACTCGCCCAATACTAGAAGTATGAGGCGAGAGGAGGAGAATGGTGAGAGATCGGTGAATAATGTGGAGAAATCGATTTCTGTATCGATTCATTGGCAGGGAGAATTGGTTGAGGAGGGGAGGGAGAATGAAGAAGAAAAGAAAAATAAGACAAGAGGTGTTAGGCTCACGGTTCAGGGGGAGCTACTAACCTATAGTAGGAAGGGGAAGCAAATTGCAGGAACAGTACCTACAGTGTCACTAGTGCTGCCAAGTCTCTTGCCAACACCTGCCCCGACTCCTGAGACACCTACACCACCACCATTCCCTTCCCAAGGTGATAACATTCCTCTCCCTACTCCTCCCACACCAATACCAGTACGGAGGACTACTCGTAGTAATGCGAAAAATCCTCTCGATAGATATGGTTGGGATCTTGCCCAGTTTGTATCATATTCTAACATCCATCCTGCACATGGGGCATTCATTGCATCATTGGACTCTGTTACTGTACCTAACAATTGGCAGGTTGCTAAGAAGGACCCAAAATGGAAAGCGGTTATGCACGAGGAGCTAGGGGCTCTTGAGAAGAACCACACTTGGGAGCTAGTAAAACTACCAGAAGAGAAGAGAGCAGTTGGATGCAAGTGGGTCTTCACTGTGAAGCAGAATCCAGATGGACAAGTTGAGCGATACAAGGCTCGTCTGATGGCAAAAGGGTATAGTCAGAAATATGGCATCGATTATGATGAGACTTTTGCACCGGTGGCAAAGATGAGCACTGTTCGAACCTTAATCTCTCTGGCAGTAAATGGTGGACGAAAGCTACACCAACTAGATGTGAAGAATGCATTTCTTCATGGAGATCTAGTGGAGGAGGTATACATGGAGATACCACCAGGATTCGATACAGATCAGACAGTAGGTAAGGTCTGCAGATTGAAAAAGTCTCTCTATGGGCTGAAGCAGTCTCCTCGTGCTTGGTTTGACAGATTCAGGAGGGCTATGATTGGTATGGGGTACCAGCAGATCAACGCCGACCATACCGTGTTCTTTCGACGAAGTGGAGGTCACATTACCATGCTGGCGGTATATGTGTATGATATGATTATTACATGAGATGACGAGAAGGAGATTGCCCAACTCAAAAAGAGACTAGATAAGGAATTCGAGGTAAAAGATCTTGGCTTGCTTCGATATTTTCTTGGGATAGAGATAGCTCGAGGAGCTGAGGGGATTGTTCTCTCCCAAAGAAAGTATGTACTGGATCTTCTCAAAAAGACAGGGATGTTAGGGTGCAAACCTGCAACTACACCGATCGATCAGAAGTTCAAGTTGGGTGCTGAAGCTGGAGAACCAGTTGATCGTGACAGATACCAAAGACTGGTGGGCAGGTTGATCTATCTGAGTCACACACGTCCCGATATCTCTTTTGCAGTGAGCGTGGTGAGTCGTTACATGCACGATCCAAGGAAGGGTCATATGGACGCAGTATACCAAATTCTGAGGTATTTGAAGAGTGCTCCCGGAAAATGGTTGATATTCAGGAAAAATAAACATATGAGTATTGAGGGTTACTGTGACTCAGATTGGGCTAGCTGTGCTGATGACAGGAGGTCCACCTCAGGATACTGCATCTTCATAGGATGTAACTTGGTCTCGTGGAAGAGCAAGAAGCAATCAGTGGTGGCGAGATCAACAGCTGAAGCAGAGTATAGAGCCATGGCCCTGGGGGTTGTAGAGTTGTTATGGTTGAAGAGTATGCTGGTGGAGCTGAAGCTGGGTCAAGGAGCCAAGATGAAGCTGTGGTGTGATAACAAGTCAGCTATCAGTATCGCCAACAACCCAGTGCAGCATGATAGAACCAAACACATCGAGATCGATAGGTTCTTCATCAAAGAGAAGTTGGACAATGGACTACTGGAGTTAAGTTATGTTCCAACTAAGGATCAGGCAGCTGATTGTCTGACTAAGGGACTTAGCTCAGTAGATATGATTAGAGGATGTGACAAGATGAGCTTAGTGGATATCTTTCGCCCATCTTGAGGAGGAGTGTTGACATATTAGTAATAGATAGGGTGTTATTTGTAAGTTGTGTTGTAAGGGCCTATATAAGCCCATCTTATGGAGTAATAAAGTAAGGGTTTCTATTTCAACTAACATCCACCAAAAAAGTGAGGATAGTGCCTGCTAGCTAAATGGAAGGAGCTAAATCGAAAATGGGATCATCCCTTTTAATACATTTGCCTGAATTTTGTGGTACACGTTCTGCATTGCTATGATACTTTTTTCCTCTTTATTCTCAACTTTCATTCTGTTAATTTTTTAATAAAAGTGCGAAGGAAGCATAATTACTCAGATCATCTATCGCTTTATTAAAAGATGTTTTCCCAGTTGGTTAAGGGGATGGCTAATACTGTATTTCCTTTTCTATCTCCTCTATGCTATTCCAATGGGGTATGTTGGAATGCCGTAATACTATTAAAGGATTGGGTTAAAAATCTCCTGATTTTTTAAAGTAAATTTTCTGTGAATATATACTAAAACTTCTATCGTCTTGTTTCAGTCTTACATGGACTCGGAGATAAGAGCTATAATGGCCCAATATATGCCCCTGGACAGTCAGAATGAAGTCCCCAGTCATTCCCACGACGAAGAAAATATCTCAAGGGCTTAAGTTTTTACACTTTCCCACATACGAATCTCTCCTTCTTCACTCCCTTTGGCCCCAACAGATGGGCATATAGAGCTTGGTCAACCAATGAAGAGAACATTGGGATAATTCTTACAGAATACTGAGGGGGTGATGGAAGCTAGTTTGTGTACGGGAAGAACTGGCCATTCTACCAATTTCTAGTATTGTTACTGTCGCTATTGTGTAATTTTGATCCTGTACAGTCAAATTCAGTATTTCTTTAGGGAGTCGTCACTAGTTTAGGATGGGTTAGCTGTAGGTAAATTGTGCGAGGTTGAACGGCTGTGAATTGTGTTAGTTTACGGGCTGTAATGCCAAACTTCGACGCAGAGTTCATTGTTTGGTACCGGAGTCATGCTCTCGTATATGTGTACCCAGGCATACATGTTGACGCTGCCTATTTTATGGGAACTGAAGTTCATCAGGTTTTCTGAATTGTAATCATGTCATGAACTTGAATTTGTCATAAAATGGACCAGAAATTTCATGGGATCAAGGAGAAAATGTATTGGATGTTTTGTCTGAATTTTGCTCTTCAGAGGTTGGTCAAAGTCATCGCATAGATTATATGTCGCCTTGCCTTCTGTTGAATAGGAACAGTAATATTTATTTCCTATACTTGTGAGGTCTTAGACTAAAGACATAAAAGAAGATGCACATTTAGGCACGTACCTTTACTTTTATAAGGTTGTTATCGCCATTCCACTTCTAAATGCTCGAGGACGTCTAGTATGCGTACGTCCAAGATAAAAAGTTGCAGCAGAACTCAGACCATAGTTCAGCAAGAAAAATGCAATCTTGATCATCCGAGGATGGACATGAGAAGTTCTTGAGGCATAATCAATTCTTTCTTTTGTTTGCATATGTGAATTACAAAGAATTTACAGTAGTATTCAACACTTAGATTCTCGGAACAGCTAATTAGGATAAACAGATGACAATGGCTATTTTTGAGGAAAAACCAATTATATATTCTTATTTTCCGTTCTTTCTTCTTTCTTTTTTTTTTCTCTTCTTTTGAGATACAAAATGGTGTAGCTTCCAACTCCCCTAGGAGAGAAATTTCCTCAAAGGGTGATAGAAAGCAATTTTCGCCTCTAGAATTCCTTTTATCGCAAAATTCCTTTTAAAAGTCAAAGAATGATGAACTTATACTTCAAGTATTAATTTGGATTGCTTTCAATAATCGATTCGTCTTTGTATCATTGTCGCGATAGAGGAATCTTCAGATCCAAACCGATATCCATCCCATTGTAAGCAAGTGGTGCGTACATCCACATATCGTCTGAGCTCAAAAGCTGCACGTATATAGAAAATACAATTAATGCTGCATAAAAATCAGTAAAGGTACTAATCTTACTTATTATTAATTGCAATGTTTAGCTAAAATATTCTTCAGTTGATGCTCCTCAAAGTGGACTTTATGATGTATTTCATAAAAATAACCTGCATGTTGCCTAATTTTGCCTAATTGATAGGATAAACTGAACCAAGTCTTGCATTCAATAGACAAGAATGGATGATATAGACTTTATAAAGCTTATTAGATTAGTAATTAGTTTACTCTAAATGAAGTTGATTATAATTAACAAGTGCATGTGTAGATATTCTATATCTGTACCTTAATCTGAAGCTGCAAGAACTTTACATACCGAACTGCGTCTTCTAGCATCGTGCTTATATCAACCTATCAAGTAAAAGCCATATTAATTTTTCTCCAAGAAAATTAAATCGATCCATCAATAAGAGAAGGAGAACAGAAGAAAATGTCATCAAATTGATTGCATACCTTTGTTCCATTAGGAACCAAGTTCTGTAGTATCCTCAGTCTCTCATTAATCCTCTCTCTCCTCTTCTGTTACAAGTATCAAAATGCCAACTGAATGAGAATTCTGGAAAATAAAAAACAAAAAGTAAAAAACATTGCAGGCTAATATGATCAAAGTCATACTCTTGCATAGAGACTTTGAGGGTCAGTTGCAGACCCGCGACCTGCACGTGTTTTCCCTTTAGCGCTGTTGCCTGTACCTACATTCTCTTCGTGAGAAACGTTCGTTTCTTCCTCAGAGCTAAAGCTAGCATTGCTCGGGGTTTCCTCAGAAGCACCATTATTTTTCTGAGCTTTCTTAGATTTAACAGACTTCAATCTTTTCTGAACCTGCATTCAAATGTAAAACCAATCAGCATACAAATCTTTTCACCCACAGAAGCTAATTAACATTCTTACCTGCACTGAGACCCGAGCCTTCTCCTTCGAACTTTCAGTTGGAATTTCACTTTCAGGTTCAGGTAACTTCCTTTTAGCCTCTGAAGTTGTGTCTGTGGCATCATCGTTTGGTTCATTTTCATCGTCTTTCGAGCAAATGAGACCTTCAACCTGATATTCATGAGTAATCATGGTGGAAGATCCAGACATTTGCTCTTCTGGCGTGAAATGGCTCACGGATTCTATGAATTCAGGTGAAACAAAAAAACTACTAGTACTAGTACAATTAGCATTACTAGTACCAAGCCAGTATGAACTGAGATCATCCAGAGAACTATAAGAACCTGCACTTTGATCTGACCAAAACATCGGGTTGATCTCTAAACTCGCTTCTTGATTTTGCTCGTCGAGATCAGGATAAGCACCAAACAGCTGTTTCATTATAACTTCAAACTCATCAGCGAAGTTCCAGTTGAGCTCAGAAATTGCTCCCAGAGACTCCATTTCTTGATTTGAGATGTTTAGTAACAGTTTGATGCTCAATAGGTACTTATAATAGCCTCGAAAACGAATGCTGCAATAATATAATAATTGACTTTGATATCGTCACCATCGTATTTGACATATCGCTAGTCCTTTGGATATACAACTCACATGTAAGATAAATTCAACCAATATGTTAAAGAAATGGAGATTCTTCAGAAAAGAGGCAACAGGGTGACTTTTTGGAGATTGAGTTAAGAAGGGTCTAATTGGAGTCTCAACAAAATGATTGAGATTGATAAGCTAATGATTAGCGCATGATTTGGGATATAAATAAAACGTGGGATCCCAAATTTTTTTTAGAGAGTATTAAACGTGGGAATAATGAAACAGAAGAGTTGGCAAGATCGTGGGAAGAAGTTCTCAACATCGGAATTCTTAATATGTAATTGGAAAAGAACAGACAGAAAATCCTACATATGCGATTCTTGTCTCTCCGTGAGCTTTGCGTTACCTAATCACTCATAGTTTCAATCTTCAGTCCACAAATTAATTTACACGCTGCGTTTTTCTCCTTCATCGACAACATTAAAGTTTCAAAAGAAAGAAGAAAACTATGTCAATTACTTTGCTCGATTTTCTTGAGTGGTGATGCAATTTTGATAAGTACATTGTAATAGAGGATTCAAATAAGTAATGAACATGGTTTAGTGAAGTTACGGCTAGAAAAGTTGTTATCCGTATTGCATTGAGCTCTGAAAATTTACTATGTGGAGTCAAGGGGGGGGGGATACAATTCTCATCAGCTGCTTATTGCAATAACTTGCATTTTAGCTTCAAATGAATGCTTTTCTCTTGATAACTAGAGAATGAATAGAGGATTTCACTTTAATTTTATAAATATTTACCGTTGATTATCTATTTGAACATGTTAATACATATATAGCCTTGAGTCCTGAAAATTATTTCGTATTAGTCAATGGTAGGCTCTTGAGAGTGCCCAGCTGAAATTTGGAAGAATACAAGTTAATAATTATTCTGTGTTGCTTTAATGAAGAAACTATAGGAAGTAATACCATCTCTTAATCCTAAACAGCTAGCGTAATTTCTGTAAGTTTCCAACATGCCAGCTAGATCGCAAAGAACTCAAAGACTTAAGCCTAGATTACGTCGAGTCTATGATTGGCGAAACAAGCCAAACATGGGTTTATATATGACCTTCATCCAGCCGTATGAATCTTTTGACAGATTACACAAAATCTTATCTAGTGCATAGTTCCATGTATCTGGGCAATTCGTGGCTCTCTTTGTGCTCTTCACATTTAATTTCACATAAAGATTTTATCAGCTTGGAGACGTGGAAGGTAGGAGACAAACAAATGGGATTAATATGAAGCAAAAAGTTTGTAGCCAGAGAGCAAAATATGGCAAGAATAACTCCTCAAAAGATAAATTGTTTCTTATTTGGATCCGAATCCTTTCCACTAAAAAAATAGTGGAGTGACCACTGCAATATCACAACTGTTAATTTGTGTAGTGGATAGTTGTAATTCATTTCAAATTTAACCCTCACCCTACCCTAATGAATTGCATTTTTTTGACCGGAGGGGGGAGGGGGCAACACATAATGGAACCCAAGACTGTGGAGCTATATTGAAACATCCCAATTGTCGAGATCACTTGCACAGTTTAATTGCACTATATTTCTAATTTGACCCAACACATAATGGAACCCAAGACTGTGGAGCCATATTGAAACCTTCCAATTGTCGAGATCATTTGCAGAGTTTAATTGCACTATTTTTCTAATTTGACCCAACACATAATGGAACCCAAGACTGTGGAGCCATATTGAAACCTCCCAATTGTCGAGATCACTTGTAGAGTTTAATTGCACTATTTTTCTAATTTGACCCAACACATAATGGAACCCAAGACTGTGGAGCCATATTTTTCTAATTTGACCCAACACATAATGGAACCCAAGACTGTGGAGCCATATTGAAACCTCCCAATTGTCAAGATCACTTGCAAAGTTTAATTGCACTATTTTTCTAATTTGACCCAACACATAACGGAACCCAAGACTGTGGAGCCATATTGAAACCTCCCAATTGTCGAGATCACTTGCAAGTTTAATTGCACTATTTTTCTAATTTGACCCAACACATAACGGAACCCAAGACTGTGGAGCCATATTGAAACCTCCCAATTGTCGAGATCACTTGCAGAGTTTAATTGCACTATTTTTCTAATTTGACCCAACACATAACGGAACCCAAGACTGTGGAGCCATATTGAAACCTCCCAATTGTCGAGATCACTTGCAGAGTTTAATTGCACTATTTTTCTAATTTGACCCAACACATAATGGAACCCAAGACTGTGGAGCCATATTGAAACCTCCCAATTGTCGAGATCGATTACAGAGTTTAATTGCACTATTTTTCTAATTTGACCCAACACATAATGGAACCCAAGACTGTGGAGCCATATTGAAACCTCCCAATTGTCGAGATCGATTACAGAGTTTAATTGCACTATTTTTCTAATTTACATTTAAAGTCAAATCGTAAGCATCCACTAAATAAATCAATAGTTGTGATGTTACAGTAGTCGACTCTCCGCTGTGATTTGATAATGGAGAGAAAGACAAGTTCTAATTAAGTCTCAATCATATATTTGGGTGTTGATTGCAGGCCCGTGTGACTTGGGGTTAGAGCTGTTACCTGCTCAGATACTTTCACCTAATTAAACCTGGAGAAGCTTCTACTGACATTTAGATAATGTTTGCTTGCTTCTAGTCACATATTGCTTCAAGTACTGTACAGACTAGAAATATTTGTTTGATTGGTATTTTTCCAATTATATTTTATTTATCATGAGTTTACTTGTATATGTCGAATATGTGCTTAACAACAAATCATAAGGATCATGTTTTAACTAATGTTTATTATAAAAATATGTAAATTAATTAAATTATAGTTATTTATTTTAATAGTTTAATAATGTATTCACTAAATGAATACTTTGGCGAAATAGTTAGAAAAGTATGTTATTCGAATACTAAATTGTATTTTAATTTTTGTAGTTAGAATCATGAAGTTGGGAAGTTGGGAATGTACTATTTTCCCAAGTAAAACACCAAACATATTGTTAGATGTTTTTTTTTGGTTGACTTTGATTTTTGCACCTTTGGTACCTATAATAATTAATTTGTGCGTTATTAAGAGGTCCTCAGATATGGCAACACCTGTGTTTCGCTGAATGGGCCACGCCTGCGTTGACTGGGATTGCCCAAATCTTTGAAGAAATACAGAAAATGCACAGGATAAGGCTCTGAGTATATACAATATTAGATGCATAAGAGGGGTTTTAGTCAAACTAAACACAATGCTATTACTAATCAACTCTAGTACAGCTAATTCTCTAGTTCTAGACTTCTATAACTTTAACCAATGAACAGTATATGATATATCTGAGAACTCTTGAATTACAAAATATGTTCCTAGAAGAATCAAATTCAATTTTGAGTAAGAATTATAAAATTTTTGGGCTAAATTAACATCATTACTACAAACAAGGCCAGCCCGAATGCAAAAACTGTTGGGGTGAACTATGACCCCAACGGTTAGCACTGTTTGGGAAAAAAGTAAACCATTGGGGCATATCATGTCGGTGTTGACTCAGCACCAACAATTTAAGCCGTGGGGGAAAGTAAATAACTAAGTTAATGTTCTATAAAAAAAATGATAGGCCCAACAGTTACCCCATTGGGTTGATGTCTTGCACCAATGCTGTAACCATTGGTGCAAGTTAATTTTCACAAAAAAAAAGTCAGCCCCAATAGTTGTAACCGTTAGGGCTGATGACTTGCACCAGCCGTTTAATCGTTGGGTCAAGATTATTGCACCAACAATTGTAACCATTGGTGCAAGTGATCAGCCCTAATGGTTATAATTGTTGGGGCTTTTTTTTAATATACTTTTAGTTTCTTCTTATACCTATATACAAGTCATATTCCCATACAAATATATAACCACCCTATTCAAAAATTCATATTCCCATACAGTTAGATTTCATACAATTCACAATTTCTGCACAATTATGCAATCAACAACACAAGTATATAATAAAATGGATTGAAAATCCTAATATCTCATCTAATTGTAAACCAAAACACAAGAGTCATGATAACAAAAACACAATGAATAATGTTTAAAATACTTAGTCCCAAACAAAAACATTGCTATTCAAAATATACATGTTTCTAATATCTAAAAAATACAAGTGTCACTGCTATAGATTGATACCAAAATGCTCGGCGAAAGCCTTGCGAATGTCCTCCTCGGCAGTGCTAAAATATACTAGGGAGAGCAACTTGTGCTACAATATCTGGAGGTGAACATTGAGCACAAAAGTTGAAGCCTAAGTGCCTGGAGAAGGATGAGAAGCCAGTAAGGTAGTGGTA